ATGACAACCAATGGGGTACGGTGTGCGACAAAGCCTGGGACATCAAAGACGCCTTCGTTGTATGCAATGAACTGGGACTGGTCAAAGCGATCCAAGAGACAAAGAAAGCCAAATATGGTCAAGGTCAAGGTCCCGTATGGCTTAGCAATGTGCAGTGCTCAGGAGGAGAGAGATCTCTGCTAAGCTGCCCTCACTCTGGGTGGGGAAATGTTGGTAGTTGTACCCATGGTAACGACGCAGGTGTAAAGTGTTTGCAAAAAGGTGAGAAGGAAATGTAGGTAAGTAACGCGTCCATAAAGTAAGCTGAGGGGGTATTTTCAAGTAACAACCACTCTCGTATGAAAATCTTATATTAATTTAAGACTTATTTCCAATTTTCATGGGTGAATACCGAATGCAGTCAGCAGTTCATTTCCCCCGCTCAGTCAATAGCCAATTGGGAATTTTAAGGATCCTCAAAATGAGGCTAGGAGCGAAGTCTTAAATGTTTAAATAAGATTTATGTACATGAAAATGACAAAGCACTCGCATATCAAAGACTATGCACTTACCCTCGTTCTGACTCCGATTACCCGCTTAGGTTGTAAAAACTTCAGTTGCTACAACCGCAACAGTCCTTCTCGGGACTGGACGAACAGACTACGCAAAGTGCCTCCTTTGTTGATTACTAAACTAACGTAGTATTCTTAAAATCTTTTTAACGATTCCTTTGTACTCACTTTTCAGGTCTTCCGCGTTTGATTGAGGTTGGCTGTTATAAAGACAGTAAAACCAATCGAGCCCTTCGAACTCTGTACGCCTATCTACGAAAGGAAATCGATTGGTATAACATAAGAAACATGGTTACCAAGTGTGCCGAAAAAGCCTGGCAACGAGGATTCCGGTATTAATTCTTCAATTCTGAGAAGTGATTAATATTAACTTTTCCTTACAATATCCATGCATAAACTAGAAAAACAGGTTACTGGAATAATCAATCAATTCATTATTGTTATTTTCCGAGCGGGAGGACCGAATGAGCGGATTCGCCTTGCCACAAATGACGCGGAAAAAATTCCGAACCGTGGTTCGTTTGTTTAAAAAGCTTCATCGCTTGTGAACGCGTGATTAGCCAATCAGCTTCGTGGATTTAAGATTACGGCCATCCTATGGTTCATAGAGTGATATCATAAGTCAAAGGTTTCCATTTTGATGTCACACCATATCGCCTTAACTGATCAATGGGAGAAATATAATGCGTTTCAAGGGGAGAACGTTCGCTGAGTCACAACAACTTGGTCACTATTGTAAAAGTTTAATAACAAGAGTTAATCTTCAACGCGTTATCCATTTGAATTCATCTTTGTCACTCCTGTTTTAGTTTGAGTTAAACTTGCATCAAGATTTTTTTTGTTTGTTTGAGAGGAGTGCTTTTTGAAAACGACAGCGAGAATCGTAACTCCTCAGAATGAACCACCGAGAGAGTTACTAACCATCCTAAGTGAGAATCAAGCTTATCACGGGATTCTTTATCCCCACCTCGTACTGAAATGGAAAGTTGCGATGTCCATTTGTGTTCTAGCAGTCGCGCCAGCTTTCGCTTAAACCAGGGCCCCCTCTTACCGTAGTTCATCATCCTCAGTTAACCTTTTAACCCCCACAAGTGATTCACATGTAACTTCTCCCTATGATACCAATACATTACCCAGCAAATAAGCAAAGAGAATTTTCAAACCTATCAAGTAGAAGTTGTTATCTTGATCAAATAAAAAATTATCGAAACTGATCACAAGTTTGCAAGGTAATATGTAGCAGTTAGAGGCGAGGAGGGGGGTAAAAGTTTAATTTGCCTGCTGCAGCTCGGTTTGTTTCTTCAGATATTTTGGAATCCAATTTTACGGAGAATGCTGGAGTGATGAAGAAGCCGAGACACGATACGATATGCATGGAGAGGTTGGACAACTACAGAGCAAACAGAACTGTATTGAAGGTATGCATCCGAAAACATTTTTACGTCAAGGCTCTTTCCACTAAGCTTAGAGGGGTTGTTTGCCTGAGAGCTCCTGCCCCAGAAGAAACATTTAGTCTGGAATAGTTTTATGTCAAAAATGTCTTCATGGACGAATACAGAGTGAACGATTTATCCATGTGGTTAGTGCCACGTTTAACCCTTTATACCCTAACATCAGAATGAAAATTCTCCATACTGTTCTCTATACGTTTCCTTAGGTGCTGATAGGGAGAATTTGTTTAACAATCAAGAGCTTCTTTAGTTGGTGATCATTTACTTTATTCTCCTAACCTTGATCTATGATTCAGGGTTGAAATTGAAGGGGGAAAGTATATCAGCAGCTAGTAACTCTTAGATGTCAAGGTGTTAAGGCCGTGTCTTAAAGCAAAGTTCACAATGGTTCAACACAAGTTCTCTTTTCCACTCATTCAAAGAGTTTTCATTACCAGACACAAGCCAGTGAGGCGTGTAGGGTCATACTAGGGCCTTTTGCGCTTTAACTACCAAAATTTAATTCAAGGTAACATATTTTTCGACCTCAAAAAATGACTTGAGCTTGAGACTGTGGATTAAGAGCCATTCTGTTAATATACCACCAAATGCGTTCCTTTCCTTCCTACATAATAGCAGCTCGAAGTAAATTTAGTCATCGCCAGGGAGGGTAGGGGATGGGGGGTTTTGATTGTGTCACAATAAAATGTAACCGGTCCTTTAATGAGGCTCTGTAGTATTCTAATGATCTCTCTTCATTGGCAGTCAATTTTGTTTCTATAGTCCATTTTTAAACTCTGTTTGAGACGACTGACTCCCACCTCCGATCCCACTGAAAACCAGTGTGATACCCCGGCCCTAAAAATCTTTCAACCCCCACTCTCCAGACGATGAATAATGACTGGTTCCTAATAGGAGCCTGGAGGAAGTAAACGGAGAGCCATATCGCGAATTAATCACCTCTGAATAATTTTTTTTTCATTTTCATTTTATCTCGTTAAGGCGTTGGGATGCACTGGGCAAATTTTGTGTACAAGTTTGCACCTTGGTCGGACCTGGGATGTTGGAAGGATAATACACGTGACCGAGCAATGGAAAAGTTGCTTGTGAACCTGCGATCCCAGATTGATTGGTTTAACATCGGTAAAACTGGTAAGTATAATAAAATTGTGCAGTTCACGTGGAGTAGTTAATAGTTTTAAATGTTTTTAGTGTCGCACAGTTAAAACCCTAGCAGATACATTTGGGAGTCAACGAATCAGTGTTGTGTGACTGGGTTAGTACAAACTTGCCAGAAATCACCGCCAAGCACAGGACAGTGCAAGAAATACAAGCAATTTCAATGAAAAAATCGGGTTTATTCATGGCGTTACCTTTATATATTTTGTTAAAAAAACCTTAAAGCAAAGTCTGCCTTGCTCTGAAAAACGTATCAAAAGAGCTAATGACGAAACTACCTCACACGAAGAAATAAGGAATTACAAAATTTCTTCTTCTTCTTCTTTATCAAAGTCGACCTTTGCTACCAGGCCGCAAAGAAAGATGGGAAGAAGTATTTTGCCGTGCAGTTTTACGGCGAATGTTGGGTGGATAAAGATGATACAACTTACACGAAGCATGGATCGAGCACATCCTGCTGGAGTGGAGTGGGAAAACAAAGAACAAACTATGTGTACAGTGTTCTGTGGTAAGAAGGTGAGTGAGACAATGAGATTACCGAAAAGAAACGGAGATGAACGGGAGAGACAATGAGTGAGGCAGAAAGAGCCTGAGGGATACTTAGAACCTTGAACGTTTAATCTAAGTCATGTTCTTCATCCAAGAAAATTTATAAACTGGACTGTTTCAGGAAAATTTAGATATCCTTCTTTGTATTTTAGAAGAAGGAAACAACGCTGCAGGTGTTCAATATGGGATATCCTTACCACTGTCGTTTCCAGTTTTCAACCCCTTATGCCCCTTCCCACGATGACGCATGTGAGGGCGGGTACAAAGGCGATGATTTTGAATCTCCTTTTAGGAAGAAGGAACGATTTACGATAGTACCATAACCTAGAATACATCAAAAAAACCACTTAAACGCTGTCAGAGGATCTCTTTTTTATCATGTTCATCCTAAGTGCTGCTCACTCTTTGATCTTTCTATCATAAGGGGGTTTCAATGGGGTTATTGCCTTTACGGTGAACGGTTAGAATTTTAGCCAATTTAAGGCCAACGGTTAATATCTTTCCATTGTTGTTACCAAAGTTATTTTTAAAGTTGACTTTTATTTCAACTAGTGGGCAAGATTTGTCAATTTTTATGCCCAACGACTAAATTTACCTCATTGAGACACTAATAATTAATGAAAAGGACGCCATAAAGTTAGCACTCTGATTATAATAACTTAAGTTCATTAAGAAACCGGTTATCATTTATCGCCTACAAGGCGGAAGGAGGGGGGGGTTCAGAGAATTTTAGTTGGTTCACAGCAAATTTTCCTGATCTCCCCTTAAGGCTTTGTAACATTTTAATGATCCCTCCTCACGGGCAGTCAATGGTCTATTTTACCCCCCTTTAACTCTCCTTGCGAAGTCTAATCTTTCTTCGGTTCCCTACGAAAACCATTTGACCTCCCTCCCCAAAAAAATTTAATGACTAGTCTCTAAAATGCTTAATTTTCTTTCATTAAAACACACTAACCAGTTATTTTCCCTTTTTTTTTTACAATCAGGTCATTTTCACCGATTTCTTCACAAGGAGCGTATCTTTGGCTAGATGAAGCTGTCGCAGACGCTTTCCACAATTTGAATAACAACTAGTTTTGATCAAAACACTGTATAAGAAATAAACACAAGCAAAGTTAACTGTCAGCTTCTTCTTTATTATTATACCTCTCTTTCTCCCTTGAGTAGAGAGACACAAACAGGTCCAAATCCTCCACTTACAACCCATCATACATCATATTTCGTCAGACCCCGCCTCGTTCCTCCTGAAAACCATGTGATCCTCCATAAGTCCTCCGACCCCCCCTTACCCCCTACCCCCTACCCCCTATCCCCTAATAATGACTGGATTCTTACTCGACAAATGCCCACAGATTGTTGCCCAGGCCTGGTTATCAATATTTTTTTTTTAAAATTAAATTGACAAAATTTTATTAGTAACGGAAGATTGTGGTCATTTTCTTTCTCCTTTATGTTAATCTCCGAAAAAGGCAAATCTAATTCTTTCTTGTTAACTATTCCTTAGGATTACCTATATCACTACTATTTACAATAGCTAGTGATAAATGGTCTTTAATACTTGACCAGTAAAGCGAACAGCTTCTACTACAACGCAGAAGTAATCAATTTTTAGGGTTTCTACGTTGTAACGCTCGCGAATTTTCATTTTGACATGACTTGATTACACCGTTCCAAAGCGTTAGAAACCATTTACATTGTCATTCGGGAAATCATTAAAGAAAGATATCGTGTCATGTAAAACAATATCAAGTTATCAAAAATGTCATCAGTTTCCATAAATGTTTCCATGACAACTCAGATCGGAGGCTTTCAATGATCTTGTTATCACCTGATGATATAATGAGGCCAGACTAGACCGAAATAAAAGTGCAGTTTAGAAGGAATATCGAACAGTGTTTAATACAAATTGGGCTATTTCAGATAATTGCCTAAAAACAGAGTTATGAAGCAGTTAACATAAATGTGTAATACATGCTCCTCATAGACTACACCACATCCCTGTATCTACAGCTCTTAGAAAGCCCGCTTGTTTGTTTTCAATCCACAGTCGATCTATTGAGTTGGTCTTTCGCAAAAACCGTTTTCAACTTTTGTTTTCGTTCGACTAGTAATTTCGTCGTCAATGTTATTATTTCTTTCCATAGCACTTTCGTTTCGAAATGTAGAACTTGCACCGAACGTACTTCGGAAACTCGTGCTCCAGAATTGGACCACAGCTTCGCTTAGATTGCTTTGAATTTGCCCGCATTTGCAAGGGAGGACTCGCAAAATTTTGTGTCGAAAATCTCGATTGGAGCTTGAGTAAATGACAGGATTTAGAGCGGAGTTTCCATAATGAAGCAGTTTGATTGCGAAAGTCGCTACCAACGGGACATAAAACTTTAAAAACGTAACCAAGATATTCATGATGAAAAACGGCGCCCAACAGACTATAAACGCACCCATGACAATCGCCAGCGTTTTTGCCGCCTTGATCTCCCGCTTGAAATAGAACGCTTGCCGGAGAGGTTGGATTCGGCGCGCTTGGCGAAGGGCGGCAAGAAATATGCGTGAGTAGGAGTATACCATTACGGAGAGAGGAAGAAGGAAAGACACCACAAACACCAGTACAGGGTAGTAAATCCCGCCGTGTATGTTGATAGCAGCAATGGTTGCTGAATATGACCACAGGCCAATCAAGGCGATGATCGCGCGGGTTTTGGTGAGGATCTGTGAGTACCTTAGAGGTGAAGTGATAGCTATGTACCTATCACAGCTTATGGCGCACAAGTTCATGATCGAAGCGGTGGAAAACAGGATGTCCAAGCACCTCCAAAACGAGATGAGAATCGGATCGCAGGCCTGCATTGTTTTGATACAATCCGTGTTCTGAATAACAAGCCAGATCGGAATTGAAACGGAAGCCACAAGGATGTCTGTGATGGCTAATGACACAATGAATATGTTTGTAACACATCTGAGGTTGGTCGAGTGATAGAATGCAAAGCAAACGAGGGTATTTCCCAACAAGGCGAAAACCACAACAACAGCAAGAGCTACGGTCGAAGCTGTTACGATAGGAGAATTAGATGATACCGACGTCGAATTATTTGCTGTAGCTTGAACGGTAGTGAAGAAAAGTAAAGCCAACTTTAGATTCCATCCTCGGTTGGTCCAATACATAATGTATGCTCAAATCTTTTTTTTTTTTTTTTTCTACTCCGAGAAGTTTCCCATTTGCAAAATTAGTTTGATACGTCAGTTTATCCTCGTCTTTCAGGAACTTATTTTCAAAATTGTTTTTCACAGCTTTTTCCTAAAGTTCATCTTTTAGACATTGTAGTCTCAAAGCTGTTAAAGCTGTCTTCGGAAAAATTTACCAGCTTTTTTTTCCGAGAGAAAAAAAAATGCTTATTAATAAACAGTAAAGTCGTGGACTCTAATCTATTTCGCTGAATGCGCCAGAATTTGATCTGAAACCTAATCCCCGACTAAAACCACGTCCAAATGTTAAGAGCGGATGTGTTTCGACGCAATCAATTGAAATTAAAGTTTCAATCCTGCAGCTGATTTCGAAGAATTAAAAAACTTCAGTGACAGACACGTTGCGAGTTTTGGCTTAAAAGAACATATTTTCCTTTCTGTAATGAAAGACGTCTTTGTGTTATGAATAATAGGTTTCATAAATTGTTTATTTTTAAAATTTTTTGTTTGTACTTTAGCCATACCAAGTAATACGTATTTCTTGTAATTAGACGTACATTGCGCGAGAATTTAAGAATGACGAATTTGAGTAAAAATAACTAGAAAGCTTTGCTGTCAGTTACATGTTGAATGAAAAGGCTTAAAATCCTTCCTTTCAAGTTTTAGCTTTTAACACCTCTCTCTTCTGAGGTGAAAGAAAAATATTCATTACAATAACGATCTTATAGCTTACCTAAATAAATTGATTTAACTCGACTTCGTTTCCTAATAATTTATCATTCCATATTTTGCAATCAAACGTATTCTGGCTGTTTTTTCACTTTTCGCTCGTGTTTGCTTGCGAAATCCTGACAATTTAGTTGTTACAGAGACAAGTTGCATACGAAAATTACTTGAATTAAAACTTGGCTGAGAAACTATTGACTTAAAAGTGGTGCATTGAGTGATACAATTCTTATCGCATTTTCAGAGTGACAGTTATTCACGCTATAGTTAAAATTTCAAGATTCTGTGCTTTTAGTATTGCCCGAATAGGGAGGAAATTTGCAAAAATAACGCATTTAAACACCTTAAACAGAAATTCTGCGAGCCGCCATTAAGCCGAAGGGGAAACTGATGAGATTGACACTTTCTCGCCATAGTAAATGAGTTGTTTACCTTTAGAAGGAAGAGATTTCTCCGTCAGGATATTAAATAAAGGCGACAACGCAATTTGAACAAGATATTCTGATGAATTGCAGCCAGTATGCTAATGTAAGATGATGACTAATGATAGATTTGCTTTCCCCACATGGTAAATTCGTAATTTTTCGCTTGAACAGTGATAAAAACAGTTTGCACCTTAAAACTCTGCGATTTCAAAGCTCTGCGTTTCATTCCTACGAAATATAGCTCAAAGAACCACATGCAAACACCCGGTCCGATAATCTTATCTCCAAAACATTTATTAAATGTCGCAGGTTTAAAAATCCAGTGTTGTGTCGTGGGTTAACCGGACCGGAATAATTAGATAAAGTTGATGTTACATTTTTCCTATGAATCAGCACAACCTTCTACAAAGCTTTTAAAAAAATAATTATGAGATCCTCGGTTGAAGGTGTATGAAACAGAAAAAACAATAGCTCATTGTTTGGCTGTGTGCCTAAGTGAAAAATTGCTTCCGTAGTTTGCTTTCCCCCAGTTTTCCTGGTAAATTCGGCGGGCCATATTTCACAGTGCGACCCGCTAATTCCAAAACTTTGTTTGAATTGAAATTTTCCCCTTCTATTTTAACTCACAGACGCAATAAATATATTACTAACCTCGTTTTCTCGGTATATGCTGTAAGTTGCGGAGCCTCGTTTTTCCTGCTTGGATTAAAGGCTCGCGCTTCCCCCTTAGGTTATAAATCTGATAGGAAAAAAACATCGGTCTGTAATTTACAGTACGGACTTCAAACTCGGTTAGTAACAAGTATTTTAGCAACCGAAACTGCAGGCTATTCTGTTATCTTTAGCCGGCTGCTTTCAACTCATTTACTATTTGTGTTGGTAAAAAATCGTGCAATTATTGAAATACCATCAAATGATTTGTTCAGCAGTCATGCAGCCATAGCACAATTGAGTAAAATCGACAGAAAATAATGTCCTTCACAGGTGTTTTCTCTTAGTAGGTCTTGGTGGAATGGAATGCGTAGTATTCTAAGAAAAAGTTTAAACGGTAGCGATATATGATTACATCAACTACACCATGTTTGCTGAGTGGCAAAAAATATTTTTTTTTCATAATGACATAAATAAATGGGAAAAAAGTGAAGAAGGAAGACTTACTAACAAAGCATGTATTCTACTATCTGCAGCTGTATAATTTAAGAGACGTGTGAAAGTTAAGTGAATACTTTAAAATTAGTTTTTAAGAACAGTTCAGCTAGATGAATTTCAGTCGAGGAATAACTGCTGTTTACCTTTGTCGACGTCAGAAAATTGTGGGAATAGGAGACTGCTTTGTCCTCACTGTCGAGTGCACATGCGCATTTCTTTTAACGTCGCTTCTAGCATAAAAGTTCCTATTTAAGCGATTAACGCTATTTCATCGACGTAAACGTTACTCAGCACCACCGCGGATTTAATCACAATACTCCATATCGCAAAGACCCAATCAAACTTGATTAACAGGACTGCTACCCATTTTTGCCATAGAAATAAATAGATTCTCCCAGGCCTTTTTGCCAAGCTCTGGATGATTTTTTTTTCCGGAATGCGCTGAATAAAATTGAATACTGAAGTACATATCGGGCAGAATGCGTGGACATAACATTCCATTAATGATCAGATGGAGACGTGGATCGAAGAAGCTTTCCGCCAAACGTTTTCATTTCCTGATCCTTTAATATTGCATTGTAAAACTTGATCATTCAATTAAAATACTTTAAAATCTAAAACAATAATCATCCTTAA